AAAAAATACAGCAAAATAAAAAATACGTAATAAAATAAAAATTAAAAAAAATATATAATAAATATAACCTTCAACCCAGATACTTCACAGAGTGGTGGGCTGAATGTAATAAATATAAAAAATACAGTGAATGTAATAAATATAAACTTCAACCCAGATACTTCACAGAGTGGCACGCTGAATATAATAAATACAAAAAATACAGCAAAAAAAAAATATGTAATAAAACAAAAATTAAAAAAATATATAATAAATATAACCTTCAACCCAGATATTTCACAGAGTGGCGGGCTGAATGTAATAAATACAAAAAATACAGCAAAATAAAAAATACGTAATAAAAATAAAATTAAAAAATATATAATAAATATAACCTTCAACCCAGATACTTCACAGAGTGGCGGGCTGAATGTAATAAATACGAAAAGTATAGCAAAATAAAAAATTAAATATAAACAATAAAATAAAATTTAAAAAAAACCCTTCAACCCAGACACTTCACAGAGTGGCAGGCTGAATGTAATAAATATAAAATAATACAGCAAAAGTAAAAATTAAAATAACATAAACATAAATAATAAAATAAAAATTAAAAATAAATATTAATAAAAATACAGTAAATATAATAAATATAACTTTCAACCCAGATACTTCAGAGTGGTGAACTAAATGTAATAAATATAAAAAATACAGCAAAATAAAATAAAAAAAAAGTTAAAAAATTAAATAAATCTAACCTTCATCTTAGATACTTCACAGAGTGGCAGGCTGAATGAAATAAATATAGAAAATACAGTAAAATAAAAAAAAAAAAATTAAAAAAATATATATAACCTCCAACTCAGATACTTCACAGAGTCGCAGGCTGAATGTAATAAATATAAAAAATACAGCTAAAAAAAACTATAATAAATATAACCTTCAACACTTTACTTCCTTCACAGAGCCTCAGCCTGTAACAACTCCATTGCTTTGGCCAGGATGAAACATGGAAACCTTTTTGTGGTTTTTTTAGGGGATGAAACGT